GGGGTTGATTTAATACTAAGCTAGCAAAACAAGAAAATAAACTAGAACTAGAAATAAATGATTAAAGTGCAAAGATGTGGATATAGAAATAACAAATAATCTAATGGAAATAAGAATGAAATCGGTCCTACATCGGTTTACACCCTCGGTTAACTAGTCCAATTAATGTATTTATCAAGTTTCACTCTTCTTCTAAAACTAACGGTCCTAGATAGCAATAAGCTCTGCTACCCAAATTCTCCCTTAATTATATTTAATCGAAACAGGCTCTTCAATTAATTCTAACTAGCGAACAACTCGGAATATGCTCTCCTAATTTAATCCACTAGTTGCATTAGAATCTAGGAAAATAGACCGATCTAAGCCACAAACACACAAGCTCGGTTCATGTAACTTATGTTGTGTTATCCCTAACAATGCACGACTGTTAGTTGCTACAAGTGAATTAAGAACAACGACAATTACAGATCGAAGCCTCAATTCTAGCAATTAACATGTAATATCTAACTTAGGTGATCAAGCTAAATTAAAGAACACATATTATGGCGTGTAACTAGAATAATACAATCAATTTCATACGACGAGTAAAATGAAATAAATTTGCATTAATCGAACATAGTCATCGAGGGTTCCACGTCCCTAGAACCGAAATAAGTGTTTAGCTACTCATAGCTAAATGATAAAAGAAAAAAAATAAATATTCATCATCTTCTTTAAATAAAATAGCAAAGCAAAGTAAAAAATATAATTCCAACTCCCTTCAAAACAAATAATTTCAATGCTCCAGTAGATAAATTGAGTTTCTCCTCTCAGCCTTCACGCCTCAAGCCCTCTGCATAAGTAAGATGTATATTCTTCCTCTTTCAGTTGCTCTCATTCCAGCATGCTTTTAATTATTTCGTAATCCTCTTAATATTGACACGCCCAATCATCAATTCTGGCCACGTCATTGCCTACTTAGCTGCCACATCATTAATATGCATAACAACTGTAATGCAAGTGTAAGCGTCCTGGTCTGATTTGGAACGGATCGATCTTTGTCCTCGCCGGTAGAACGCCGGGAACCTGCAAGTAACTCTCACACCGGGAGTTGTGTCCGGTGAAGAGTCTCCGATGCTTAAGGCAGTATGTGTATGAGTATACTGAAAATAAGGAATGAATAGAATGTCTTAAGGGAGAAAGGCTTACCCCCTTTATATAGGAGTGAGATACCTGCCCTAATAGCTGCCCGGATAAGGTGAGCTGGCTGCCCAAGTTGCCCGTCCGTACTCTCACACACCGCGCGCATGTCAGAGGTTGCGCGGGGGTGTTGGGGAGCTGTCAGAGGTGGTTATCGATATCCACCAATGCATTCTCGACACGTGTCCCCCTAAACATGGGGTAAATATTCTCCTGAGATTCGGTTAGAGGTTCCTACACGCGCCTGTGACTAGGCCGACTGTTGGGTCCCCGAAGCAATCGGCCTAATGAGGTCGAATAGGCTGCTCGATCGATTATCTGGTCGAGCGATGGATTGGTCGACTATCTGATTGATCGATTCTCCCGCCTCTTGGCTTGACTTCTTCCTGGTTTGATCTTCTCGACCGGCTAAATAGACCGGTTTAGCCTTGTGTATATAATATCCTATATCATCTAGTCCTCCCCACTCTGGTCGAGTCTGAATGACTCGATCTAAGAGTGAATTTGTATCTATCGATCTTCTGGATGGCTCGTCGTCAAATATCGACCAACTGGTAAGTTTTCCGCTCATGTTTTCAAATGATTTCCCATTAATCGCTAGAAATAAAGTCGTCTGTTTCAAGTCCTTTCTGTCGTGCCTGCTTTTCTGCCACGCGTCGCATCTGCCGCATGTGTCAGGCACTTTAATGATGACAGCTCTTCGTATAACGTACCCGCCTTGAGTGCTGTGCAAATTAATGCTTCCCACCGTACGATCTGAATTTAATCTAACGGTCTTCATCTTTTCACCCCTTAAACTCTCCAAAGTATAAATTCAACACTTACCAGATTTTCAGGTTTTTTTCCACCTTCGCAACTTTCAAATTCCTCTGTACCCAAAATTCTCTCTGCAAAAAACCCTCACTTTCTCGGCAATTTCTCATGCATCTTTTCGAACTTCCATTACTTGTTGATCCAGGTTATGAGTAAGTCTCTCCGCCCTTGAATTTGTATTTTCTGTAGTTCTATTTTGTGTATTCTTGGATTTTTGGTATCGGGTATCCTCGATTTGTTTGCTGAATCATTTTGAATTGGCGTGTCTTGTGTTGAATTTGTGCTCTGAATACTTTTATCTGTCTATTGGGTGTTGTGAATTTTGCTTTTTCTCTGAACATTTCCGAAATTTCCGTCCTCGCGCCTCTCCAATTCCTCTTCTGGTTTTGGGATTGTTCCTTCCAAAAACCCTAGTCTTCTTTCTCCTTCTTTTCTTCTTTGCAACGGGTTCTTTTTGATATTGTTCTCTTTGTTTTTATTTTTTCAGACTCTGAGACCTCCTCTGATTCGGTTGAAATACTGCCCTCTGCGCTCGAAGTTGTCCCTCTCTCTAT